CCTGACTGGGCGCGGCTTGGCTGTTTTAGTAGGCAGTCCTGGTGGTTTACCAGGGGGCGGGGCCGGGGCAGCAGACGCAGCTTTCACGGAGGCGGTGCCCCGACCGCGGCAGTAGGCGCGGGCGCAGGACCGGTGGCCCCAGCAGAGGAAGCTGGCTCGGGTGGGACTGAGGGTTTGGGGGTTTTTTTGGAGGATATTTGGCGCTCGATTTATTGTGGACAAAGGTTGGGGGAGGATTGATTGGATTGTCTGGTTTGTTCGATACTTCACCGTGGTCACGTTCGTCAATGTCATCGTCAGGTCGTCGTTTCTTGCAGGAGCGGCTGACATGCCCGAACTCGCCGCAGTTGAAACACCGCACCGATTCAGCTGTGAGGAAGACACGGTAGTTGACACAAGAGAACGTGAAATTGATGTGATTGGGGGGGGGATGTTTGGGGCAAATAGGACCTGAACTTGTCTTTGCATTTGACATTAAAAGCTTTTGCATGACTAGGAGAAAAGTCTATTGCAAGAGCAACTGATTCAGCCGACAAAATCGCAATATTCAAATACCTACGTGTCAAATCCAGTTTCAATAAAGTGATCAATCAATCTACATCACACTCACTACCTGCCATCGCGGCAGCATCCAATTTGCGCCCTCTTTTGTTCAACGTTGTCCATGGGCCTTATAACAGATAGCTCGATTTTGCCACTGCGCATGCGCGCGCAAAGGACAGTGGGAAAAATTGTTGGTAAGGAAATTTGTTAATACTATTTCGTCACGTCGCGTCGTACCCGTACGTACAAAGAGCGCCTAGTTTGAAAGTGTAACCATAATTATCATTTTATTTTTATCGTTTTAAGAAGTTGAGTAATTTGTTCAGCATGAACCTTGAAGTCACTGATGAAGAACTTTGGGGATGTGTCAGGCAGTTCGACGTGAAAACATTGCAGGAATTTCTGTCAAAAGTGGACGTTCCGAAAAGCGGTTCTAAAGACTGTCTGCAAAAGCGGCTGTTCTATGCATTGAAGCTGGGACTCCCCATAGTGCCCACGGCCAGTAACGAAGAACTGAGCAGACGTGAAAGCCGGGAGAGAAAGCTTCGCTTTGGAGAACAATTTAAGTTGCCTCACCCCCTCACTCTCGATGGCTGGGAAGGTACATCCGCAAATCTTCCACCAATTACAGAAGAAAAAGTAAACCATTATTTCCGGACACGTAAGTCACTCATACATGTATGATGTAACGTTTACAGTCTTCAAAGACAAAGAAAATGATTTAGTCTGACCTGGTCTAGTCTGACGGTGACACTTAGTGATTTTAGGGATTTATCACCTGATTACCATGATTACAATTTACATTTCTGGGAGTGTGAAAAATGGTTTGGAATGATTTTTTTTGAAATTTGCTTACTATTAAAATGTTTAATATAATAATTTGGGTAAAAAGTGCATCAAGTTCCAATGAGTAACTGTGTTAGCCTTTGACAATTGTCATGTATATTTTGCAACAAACATGTACATGATGTACAGTATAGTAATGGTACATTATGTACATGTACCATCTTTATATACTGTAGTAGTATTCCAAGTAACTTGGACCCAAATATCACCTTTTTAATATTTGGACATGGTCGGGTGATAGGCTAGTAAGGTTCAAGTGAAAGCCCTACGGATCGCGGTACAAAATGTCTGCACATCGACCCCCCTGACCTCCCACACTTATCCCCCCCCCAAAAAAAATGTCACGGAAAACGGCCATATTAAAAAAGTGATATTTGGGTCCAAGTTACTAGGCCTACTTGTAGTAGTAGCCGCCTAGTGCACTGGACTCTCTCCATAATCCTTGGCCCTAAACACATGTGTACACAATCACAGGGGAAAATTTTGAACAATATATTTCTTCTTCCGGAACTATGAGCCCTGATATTCCACATACACTTTCACCGGGTATTCACCATATACCATGCCATGCCTTGTATGTGCTCTTTCTCAAAAAGGGTAATATCCTCATTTCTACTTTTCGTGAAATTTGGCTCCAAAGTTGGAGAGAAATTTTGAGTTAAGAGAAAAGTAGAAATCAGGATATTGCACTTTTTGTGAGAAATCACCTGGCATGGGTAAGTGAGAGTGTATGTGAAATTTCACGGCGCATAGTTTAAGGGAAAAAACTAGTTTTCAAAATTTCCCCCTGTGATTTTTTTCACATGTTTATAGGGCTACTGATATGGAGGGAGTCCAGTAGCGTGGCCCTAAACTAAGGCTACTTTACATGTATACATATAGACCATCACCGTGACGACCATGTACATGTATTAAGAAAGCTATCTAATTTGCAAAACCTAATTCCTCTAATCAGGAAACAAAGAACTTGAGATAAGTACAGATGGCAGCAAATCTCTCGGTCAAGGAAGGAGCATGGCAGTTTCCAGGGGCAGGGTGCACACAGTTGAACACCACCACATCAGTGATATTGTAGGTGAGACAAATATCAAAATGAATGGGAGATTGCAACCACATTTCTTTTGGGGGCTGTTCTACATGTACACTGTATTTATCACATGTTTCTCTTGACCATTGACTGAGTACATATGAATGGTGTGGTGGAAAAATTTACATGTACATGTGCATGTATACAATGTACAGTGTACTAATTCTTGAAGTGTGATATGTTTACAAAGTGTCTAAATCTGCAAATGACAAATGAGGGAATTAACAAGTCATTTATTTATTTTTTTCAACAGGGCTCAGCTACATTCGAGGACTGGTTGTACCACAAACAAGAGTTCATGAGCAGCCATACATGGTGTGGATCCTTGTATTTAAAAATACAGGTGTTATACATCAGGCAGATTGTCATTGCATTGCAGGGTGAGATTCATGACCGTACATCACAAATGGGCCATATGAAGTTGCAAACTGTAATTTTTTATAAAAAAAGACAAGTTCACACTTCACACAAATGCAAAGCCATGCGAATGTCACAAACTCCGCAAATGTTCTTCATTTGTGAAATCTGCCATTACACTTAAGGTAATAAATTAGTTTTGCTCACAAAATTGGAATGAAGCATTAACAAGCCTAAAACTTGAAATCACTGAAACTGGGCATTGACGTTGAATTTCCCATTCAAAAGGGAGCTGCTGTATTTGTTCTTAAATTCTGAGTGTGCTTCTGCTGTAGGGTGTCACACTCAAGTTAATTTTGGGGGGGTTTTGAGGGGAGGGCTGATTAGTTTACCATTTACCAACAGATGGTGATTGAGAAAGAAAAATAATCATTCTGAACAAAATTGGTCTGTTGTGTAATTTGTGTAGTTTGGAAAGGCTGAAGTGCAACAATCTGTTTTCTGTTGTTTATTGTTTTTTATGTTCTTCTTTTTTATCTCCCTTCTCTTAACAAATTTAGGCTCAGCGGTATGTGTAAACACGTTGCAGCACTATTGTCATTTGTGACACAACAAGTGGAATGTGGTTCCAGTGAGTCATGCACAAGCCAGCTTCAACAGTGGCACAGGCCAAGCAGCAGCAATCTTAACCAGAAATTAAAGACATCGGCATTCCTGAAAGACATTAAAACACCCAAAGTGTCATCTTCAATGTGTGACAATAGGAAGGGTCGAAGGGACATGTTTGATCCCCGCGCTGTGGTTAACAAGAAAGTAAGAAAGCTATGCGATTATGATTTAGATAGTTTGGCTGACATATCAAATGGTAAGGCTGCAGTGCTCTTATATGCAGCACATCAAAGGCATGTTCACCCAACATTGACATCAAAGCCGGATATCAATCATCTAAATTCCACATTAGATGAAGATATATCATCATCTTCACCAATTAGAGTTTCATCTGTTGTAGATGCCTTTAGAGAAGTGAAGAAAAGTGCAGGTACTGATGCAGCCACATACACAGCTATGACAAAAGAGATGGCCTGTAGTGGTCGCAGTAGAGAGTGGTTGGCTGAATCAACATGTCAACAGGCAGAATCACATATGTGGCACAAACACAGAGTTGGGCGCATAACTGCCTCTAACATGGGGGCTGTTACGAAACACGTGGATGAATCTGGGAACCTTACTGGCTCCACACATAGCATCATTGCCACTGTGATGTCTTACTATAAGGACTTTGTATCACCAGCCACAATCTATGGTAAAAAACATGAAGCTGTAGCAAAATCTAAATATCTGATGAAGATGCGCAGAACACATAGACATTTCAACTTGGAAAAGATTGGACTTTGCATATCCAGTAGTCACCCATTTATTGCAGCCAGTCCAGATGGTTATGTAAACTGCAAGTGTTGTGGAGCAGGACTTGTGGAAGTGAAGTGTCCCTTTAAAGACAAATCACTAACTGTAACACAATATGCATCCAAAGGGAAAACCTGCCTCACAGTTGACGAAGACAAAGTAAGCCTGAGAACAACCCACAATTACTATGCCCAGGTTCAGTGTCAGTTGTTCTGCACAGATAGGAAATACTGTGACTTTGTGTTGATGACTGAAGCAAAAGAAGATAGTATGTTGATACAACGTGTTTACAGAAATGATGAAATAATCAATCAAATGAAACACAAGGCATCAAGTTTCTGGGCCAATGCAGTCCTGTCTGAGCTTGAAACTGGAGCTGTAGAAAAGAAAATTGCACTGAAATATAAGGAAATGCAAACTGAACCTTAAAGCAAGTATTGTATATTGTTGTTCAAATTTCCTTGACCCAAAACTCCACCTCCATTTTTTTAAATCTTAAATTCATCGACAGGGCTTTTGATTGTATTCTGCACAGTGGACAAACTGATGGGGGATTCTGTTTAGAAATGGATACTTCACCACTGGCTTTTTGAGTGAACAAAAAATAACATGTTCAACCCTTATATACATGTACATGTAGAATGATTCAGTCCTATTAAACTGGGGGAAAATATATAACTTTTGAGAGGAAAAAGACAGATTTTCCAGAACAAGTTGTTTTCATAACAAACACTTGTAAAAAAAAGGTGCAAAATAAGGAAAATGATTTTCTGTATGAAACATTCACAGTTTATTGCAGTTCAATGTATATATATTGTCATTTGAATCTTCACAAATTAATTATGGGGTATGGTTTCCAAGGTGTAGTGCAGCACTGCACAGGGATTTCAACAAGAATGCTGGAAGGTATATACATGTAAAACTTTTTCAAACAGAACTAATATAATGACAGATATGTCTCCAAAGGGACTAATCCATTGGATTTCTTATTCTACAGTTGTATATGTATTTAATAATTTATTAATTAAAATAAACTAAAGGGCATTAATTGCACATATATATATTTTTTCATATATATATATATATACATGTATATACATCTACTCACCGGGTTCATTATTCATTAAACTAAAATTTACCATATTTATTGCAAATTCAAGTTTGTAAAATATTTTAAATCCTCTGGTAAACATTGTATAATCAGTTTGTATGAGAACAACTATTAAGAAAAAAGCATCAATAATGCCATTGGTAAAAACTTCATTTACAATGTATGCCACAGTTGCTATCTCACTGAGAGGGTCAGGAATTACCAGTGAAACGGTTCATGTAAATAAATGTATTAAATTATACAGACGCAGAACAAACTCTCATATTGAATGATAACTCTCATTGTGCATACTTTTTTTGAGTACTTCATTCAAATGAAAACTGATAACCTCTGGTTAAAAAGTCAGGCCTGGTTCATTTTAATATCTGTTTTTTTAAATTATCATCGCAATCATCATCTTAGTTTTGTTTGATCAAAATGAACAAACATCCCCCAACAAAAACATAAGCTGTGTAGTTTTTGCACACTGATGCACAGCTGTATTAAACAACATTCACATCATCATAAACATTAACTATTGGGTGAACATTTTATTAAAATGTAGCATTTTTTGTTCACCACTAACTCTTTCCAACAACAGAACTTTTAAGGTTGGTAAGAGCACAACATACCTTAGCTGCAGGACCTATCAAATCCAGTTGAGACACTGGTATTTCACTTGACAAGTACTTGTAGTCACGTAACCTACCAATGACGCGCTCAATGTGAATTCGAGCATGTGCAATTTGCTTGCTCAATTTATTCTTTTCCTCAGTGAAAGGCTGGCCTTTATGTACAAAAGGTGGATGGATAAGTTCAACACCATACTCCAACAACTCCCCTTTGATAAGGAAACCTTTGTCAACCATACACTTATCACCAGGGGAGAATTTTTGGGGAAGGTTGCATGCAATGACAATCTCCTTGTCCGACATGTTTCCACCTGCTGGGGGTGATATGAAGGAGATAGATCCTCCTGGTGTACAAGCAAGGCAGAATTTGGTGGTGGCCCGATTCTTATACGATGAAAATACTTGTGTATTTGCCTCTACATGCGATGGTTTCTGGGTTGGGATTTCAAAACAATCTAATAGTGCTCTAATGCCTGGCCATCTCTTAAAATAATCTGGATAGCAAAGTTTGATTTCCTCCACTTCAGGCCAGTAAATCAATCCAGACAGTTCATGGCTCAACAACGGAATCCATGTGGATAATATGGAGGAGACTGTGGGCTGCTTAACATTAAAAAGGTATGCCAGGTACTCCTCCATCATGTTAAGTCTTAACTTCATTAAAGTTATCAGGAGTTCATTTTCTTTAGACACCACCCGACTTGGTCCAGGCTTTTTCTGGTTGGTTTCTATATATTTTTTGGCCTTTTCTGATCCATTACCATGCCAATATTTCATATTTTCTGATGCCTTGTCAACTTCTTTATAAATCCACTTGAAGTACTGATATGACGGCAACCCGGTATGAAGCTGAATAAGTTCATCAGAATGCTTTATTGACTCGATTGACACTTTTGGTCCTTTCATGATCTGCTGTGTGCACTTCAATGCACTTTCAGGTTCAGTGATTTTTTCACTTAGCTGGATATTTTGTGTTTCCCTAAGAGTTGAATCTCCATGGAAGAAACTTTCATAAAGTACTTCTTCTTTACATTCCACTGCTGTTAATCTTTGTTTTTTATTGTTGTGCTTCCTCCAAGCTACACCCTCTTTTCTATTACACTGGTGTCCACAATGAACCATCTCTGTGGACTGTTTGAATGTTTCAGGTTTGGCATATGAATGGAAGGCAGGTATTGAATAAGGATTACAGTCTTTCCTTTTATTAGCGCAGACAGAGTCAAACTTAGTGGGCTGAAACTGAGCCGATAACCAACCGGTCCCTTCACACAAGGCTCCATATCTATAAATATGGAGGGCCTCTAAACATTTTCCTCCCGGCACAATTGGTGCAACTTGCTGTAATAACTGTCTAGCCTCAGTACTAGACATGGACAGCAATTTTTGGAAAATACAGTCACTGTTCTTTCCAGGTTGTACTCTAAGCTGCTCCGCAAGTCTAGTTGTTGTCTGTGGGTCCAGATACTTACACACATGCACCAATGCATGACAAATCAGTCCATTTTCTACTGCTGCAACTTCCTTAGCTGCCTGTTTTCTTGACAATGCCCAGTCCGGATAGGAACGCATGTACAGTGTAGGAACAGAACTCCCTGCTAATGGCTTACCATACCTGTGATGTGAAATGTTAAAAGCATTTTATTAGGGAAGAAAGGTGAAAAAGTCACAGAGCTTAATTACATTACTAGAGATCTAACTCCTAACAAAGAGCAAACGCTGCTGATAGCATCCATGTTTGTGCACAAATCTATAAACTCAAAATATGCACAAATTCATAACCTGAGTCAAGTATTAAAACAACACTCATTCTTGCAACTATTCTGGATTTTTACAGACACTACGGTGGGAGATGCATGCAGAACAGCCATGCTATGACATTTCAGATAATCAAAATTGTTCTTCCATGCACAAACATGTCATATGCAAATCATCAGAAAATATACAAATACAAGAATATGATAACTTACAATTGACCTATCGCAATAGAATCATGAGAATATACAGTTTGTGAACATTGTCGCATCACATGAACTAAGTACATGTATGATGCAAAATGAATGAAACTGAAACTAACAAAGAATACCGCACAGTTTTCAACAAGTACATGTATTAAAAAGGAAGGACTTACTTGAAGTGATTACTGCAAATTCTTGTGTACTGTGACACCCTGTAATCCGTCTTGTCAAGCTTCTTTTCCCATTTAGTGTAGTCCTCTGCATGTGCCTTATGGAACTGTAGTTCAATTACATGTGGCATAACAATCAACCTGAAGAATTATATAAGGGATAAAATTATACAAAATTATACAGACTGTATAAAATAGATATATTCAGTGCCCCCCTTGAAAAATGTGTGCACCCCCGGGTGCCCCCTTGGAAGTATGACCCTAGTTACGCCGCTGGTAAAGGGCACTCTTTATCAGGGCAAAATCCTGTTATAAAGAGAAAATGCAAAATCTGAGATCCCGAGTCTCATTAAATTATTTTATTTTGCAGCGTTCTTTTATGAAGGTCCTGTTTGTAATTTCGCTGTTTAAGTTTGCTACATGAATAATGAGAGTTCACTTTATAGGGTTTAGTAAGTTGGTCAAAATCAACAATCCTTACCTATCCCTGTATTTTGAATTGTTCACACAGGATGCTGCTGCACAATGCATGATTGATATCACAATCTCACTTGGAGAGAAAATGCTGATTACTGAGGAAAACTTGATGTGCACACTATTCAGTTGAGGTCATGAAGTGCCATGCATGTTACACTAGCTGCAGATGGTTGAGAATAAAGGTGCAGACTGTACAGGACATGTCGACAAGCAGCACATCAGGAGACACAATAAAAGCCTACCGGAAAACAAAAAAACATGATAAAGTTACACCCAAAATTTAAAGCTGCATGCATATTAAAATTTCAAAATTCTTAACACTTTTCCTTAAATTGACCATCTATATTGCTATCTGTGGACCACGTATTGTTGATGTACCCTAACGTGGCGCGGCCCCTAACGTGGCGCACTTTGATTTTGCGCCTCCGGTGCCTTGCTAGAGCAACATTTTTACCTCAAATTTCACAATTAGTGAAATTTCATCAAGCTCTAAACATTCCTGTTCATAAATCTTGAGTTTACGTACCCGCTACAAAGTTCCAATGAAATTCTATTTGGGCATGATTTTCCGATTTTTTTTGAAGTGCACAATGAACTCTTTTAAAATGCGCCCAAAAATAAGAAAATAATTTCTCCACAAACTTGTAGCTGGGTATGTAAGTGTAGGTTATAATGATTTATCAGAATTTATCAATTTTAAAGAAATTTTTAAATGTTAATGTGGGATTTTCTGAGATTTGTTCAAGTGCGCCACGTTAGGGAACACTCAGCTGAATTTGTGCCCAATTTCCAGACGCCACCGTTTTGAATTTCGGACTTAATTTCATGATGTTGTGCCCATTCTTGAAAATCACGCATTCTCGAGAATGGGCGCGCATTCTTAAGAATGAGCGCCCATTCTTAAGAACGAGCACGCGTTCTTAAGAATGAGCGCTCATTCTTAAGATTGGGTGGGAATATCACGTGCACAATTTATGAATTTTGCCCAATCTTAACAAACATTGCACGACATAATTATGTTAAATGAATTGTATAGCGGTTAAAAGGGAAACAATTCATATAAAGAGGAAAGAAAATGTTCTATGCTTCTGTACTCGTATAACTACGATAATTTTATATATTAAACCTGTTATTATTGCTTTTTCCTGCCTACTTATGGGAAGTTTTGTAATAACGGAGGACTGGGAACTAGTCTGGGAAGTGCTTTGTTTAGGCTAGACAAGTACAAGTCCCTGTATGTATCATATGCGTGCCACGGAAAAAAAACGATGTCCAGAAGCTGCCAAAATTGCTCTTTAGACTAGATAGAATCCAGCTCTGCGACGTTATGGTGGGGTGTGAACAATAAATTGGTGGCAATTTAAATGGGAAATAGCATTAGCACTATGGGATGTCGCAGTATTCATTCTCATTCTTCACATTCTTCATTCCTACGTCCCCCCCCCCCTTTTATTATCCCAGAAATCTGAATTCTTTCTTATTTATTCTTATTTTTTCCCCCGGTCCCCTCCCCCAATACGTGTATACTTTTCATATCCACTCTACTTTTCAGCGCCTTGCGTTGCAACAGTATAACGATTAAGAATCAGTGAACGAGGATTCAGCTAGACTTGCCAAGCGCAGCCGGTGCTCGGCATCGACAAGACCGTTATCTTGTCGCGCATTCTCAAGAATGTGCGCTCAATCTGGAAGAGTTATTTTTTGCCAACTGGATCCTTATCCAGTTGCACATTCTCAAGAATGTGCATACCCATTCTCGAGAATGCGTGATTTTCAAGAATGGGCACAACAGTGACACTGAAATTGTTCACAAATTTTAAACAGCATGTTATTAAGGTACTAGTACCAGTATTTGACTGAAGCAATTTCAAGTTTTACAACAAAGAGGTTTGGCAACACTGCATGAGGAAAGTCGAGTGAAACGTCGAAGTGCGCCACGTTAGGGAACACGACTATCTGACTATACAAGTAGGCCTATGCATGTTGCACAAAATAGTTCTAAAGGACAAGGCAGGATACGGGTTATCATTATGTACACATGTGTACAAAAAGTTGGAAAATTACAATGAACTTCTCGGGAAGAATGTTATCCTGTTGATGTTTTCCCCATTATTGGCCAACGTATAGCAATCCAAGGCTTAATTAATAATAACAAGTTAGTACCTTAACTATGGCTCGTGGCCTGTGACGCGAGCTAGCTTCGCAGCCGGCCGAACAGCTGTACTGTGCGTATTTTTCATTACCAACTCGATTACCCATAGTGCTTTGTATAGTGACAATTTTTGCTATCTGTAGGGATCAATGGCTGCTTCAGGGGCCATTTTTTCGCTTGTTCTTTGAAGCCGGTCTTTATCAACCTCGTACCCAGGGTGTCGAGCAGTACGCGCCCATCACTACCTGCTCTCTCACCCTGGTATTGGATCATTTGCATGTGCAAGATTTTTGAACACATAGGCAAATGTGGAATAGTCTGGTGCCTACATGTGCGTTACATTAGCGTTTGTTTTTGAATGCGGTGTCTGGGGTAAAAACAGAGTCAATCTGTTGCAGCGCGAGCATGGCGTGAGTTACGAAAACACGATTTTTATTCAATTAAACTGTTACAATCTTAACGAAACAATAAGCAGTATCACATTTCATATTAATATTAACAAATTGGAAAGGAAATTAATAGTTTCGAGAAGGTGTGGCCAAATGATCGCGAAAACACGTACTGCACGTTGTGAATAACAACACCAAGTACACGATAAAAATCCATTACTAGCCAATTGTGGTATCTAATCAGGATACAGGAAGAAAGTTTCCTATCCAGGGTTTACTATTGGAAACCGTGTTGGAAATAAAGTAGGCACTGGGGACGAGGTTGGGTCTTTATATCACCGTTAATGCACGGCCACGTGATTGAGTCTCGACCAATCAGAAACCTTCAACTCTCCAAGGTATTTATTAATGTAAAAAAAAATTATAGCCGATGGTTTTGACGAGTACAAGCAATCGCGCGCAAAGCATTCGGCGCGCCACACGCACGTAGCAAAATCGCATGATAGTCTACTTTGAGCGCGTATATAAGCAAAGATCGTAACCATTTTTGATAGTCTTTTCGGACTTTCGGACCTTATTTTCGTTTTGGACTATTGAACCTTCGGACTGATTATCCTTATTCTAACTTCCAACTATCGAACCTTTGGATAAATGAACCTTCGAACTGATGAACTTGGGATTAAAGAAGCTTCGAACTTTTTCATCAAATATTCTGATTAACGAACCTTATTTCCTTTTCGGACTAACGAACCCCCTCTTATTGAAATTTTGTGCATTCGGAATATCGAACCTTCGGACTAAACAACCTTTGGACCTTCGGACTATCGGGTGGCATCTGCCGTTTTGGATGTCTTTTTCAGAATTTCGCACAATTGCCCTGAAAAGCACCATATATTGGCTCTTTGTGTGCATAATTGTCAGTTTTGAACAGCGCCCTCATCGACAGATGGTACCAGCCCCTCCCTCTCCCCCTCCCCCGCTTTTTGATTGTACGGAGGCCAAGTGTCCGGAGAAAAAAAAACTGTCTACATTTCACAACGGATGTGCAAGTGCCCTTTTCAAAAAAATTTACCCCCCAATAAAAATGATCATTACATGCCACGCCCCTGATATGTACTGCCTGAAGCGCTGTACTGCCGGATACAATGTGGACTATGGAGTTCCTCAAGGATCAGTCATTGAGCCAAGGTTTTGTTTTCAATTATACCAAACTGCGTCCAACAAGTCTCCATCATACATGTCGGATGTTTTTGACCTCAGGAAACCTAAACGTCAAAATCTCTGCTCGGAAATTTTGGTCATCCCTCAGTTAACCAGGAATACAGGAGATCGTGCCTTCTCCGTTGCTGGGCCCGGAACATGGAACTCCCTCCCCTCACCATCCGTAGTGTATTATATCTTGTACAATTGAATTTGTTTCGTTCTCAATTCCGTTGATCTGTTTACAGCGCTTTGAATCCTTTGGCAAAAAAAGCTGTATACAAACCAATTATTATTATAATCAGCCAGTCCAAAGGTCAGTGTTTTCACAGTATTGTTGAAATTGTGTGAACGTGTGCAGGCCCAGCCTTGTACTGCATAATGAGCGGGCTATTTGTTTCGGAAACATACATACAATTTGTTTGTTCTCCATATGTCAACAAGGACGATAAGCCTACACATTTAACATTATGTGAAACCGAAAGTAAACAAAGATGTTTACGAAAACGGCCACAAATAAGCTTTTCTAAAGAAAAGGGAATTTACGCAGGGAAATCCCTAGCTATATCTGCCTCTTTGTTTGACGTTCATGTGATGCGATGCATACAACCTTTATAGTTCTTAAACGAGGCCTAGGATCTGGGATGCTGGAATAAGACTTATTTCTTCCCTTCGAAACAGGAAAGGAGACTTGGCCTGATGGATTTGGCGCAAGACCCGGGTAGGACTGCTTTGCAGAGACTAGTTGACACGTTGAAGTTGCGGATTCAAAACCAAGGTGTTGACTCTCAGCGTGAGTATTTTTTTAGTCCATGGGCCCGGTGCAAAATCTAGACGCCATACAAGTAACCAGCGGGGGGTGTAATATTTTGTATAGACTTTCCTTTTCCATTCAAATGCCCTTTTTTCAACAACAAAAAATTGATAATTGTGCCCTTCTTTTGTTAATAAATGGCCTTTTTCTCTGAACAACTGTCCTTTAAAAAGAAAAAGTCGTACCCTTCTTGTGCCCGTGGCCATTTTGAGTGCCTTTTTTCATTTCGCGCATGCATCGCTCTAAAAAAACGCCATATAGGCCTATTGTCTGGTAGTGCATAATCGTCAGGTTTTTCCATTAACAGATAGTACCAGCCACTCTCCCTACCACTATTTCATGCCAAGAAGATAGTGGATATTTTGCCGGAGGTAATGACGGCAAACTAAATGTTTGCCGGTGGCAATCGTATCAACAGAGGGCGCTGTACTCTTTTAGATAGGGCTGAATTATAAGATGTATTAAATTCCCACCAAGAATTGTGTAGTACGTTAGGTGTAGTGGTTAAGCAACGGCTTTAGTGAGCGGCATGACCCGGGTTCGATCCCGATCACTGCCACATTTTAAAGGTTTTTTCCCATCCCCAAATCAATAAAAATATTCTTCTTTTATTATTTTAACATGTCGTTTTAAACATTTTATTGCAGAGTATTACATTTTCTTTTTCAGATTTGTGGCTCTGGAGGATTTTTTTTTAAAGGGAAACAAAGTCCGAAATTATAAAATGTTCTGACTCCCATCTTGTGAATACGAAGTTGCAATGATATTATTGGCATGGCGCCAGACTAAAATGTGTCACCGGAAAATGTTTTTAAGTAAAAAAAAACAGTAACTGTGCATGTTCAGTGCATATCCGGCAAACTAACGTTTACTAAAGGTTTGCCGTCTCCGGCAAAATATCCACTGCCTTTTATGAACGCTGTATATTCCGATTAAAACAACATTCTACACTGTAAAAACAATCGTGTCTTCATTTCGGCACGCATGTGCAAATGCGTTTTCAAGACATTTTATATCCCCCCCAAAAAAAATGGCCTTGCTCCGCCCCTGGATGCGGTTTGTTTTATTTGCTGTACATCTACAGTATATCCCCCCCAGAAAGTGTCCGTCCAACTACTTTTTGACTTACAACAAAACCGCAAAGTCAATTTTACTGGCTTCGTCCTCGTCTTCCTCCTCTAGATTCTGTAGGGCCTGGGTATTGTTTGAGAGACATATCTCAACTTGTTTTGTTACATTCTTATGCTGGTGTTGGCCGCCATTCGCCACTTTGAATGTTCACCTTGAGGCCTACTGCGCATAACATTTCGTTGTTTTCGAGTATATTTAGTACTGCTCTTGCATAAAAAAATAAAGTAAAGTTAAAACAGTATACAAGCACTGACCTAAATATGTTCGTTATACCAATTTTGAAAAGACTTGAATGTTAAATGAAGAAATTATGCTAACAGTGCTGTTTTTGACCAAGATGGGCAAAAATACAGTAAAGCACACTCTTGGGCTTAATAAGCGCAATCAAGTGACAAAATATCATATATAACTTACCAACCAATATTCCTGCTAAAATTTAGGAAAGCCAGCTGTCGAGTATACATATTACGATGGGGGCATAATGTTCCCCCTCTATCCTAACCAGATCACAGGCATAACAATTTAATATTAATTTTAAAAGGCTATCACGTCATATATTTTTTTCTTTATTTGTCACCATTAAAATTGTGCCACATCACATGAAACCGACATCTGGTCTAGCCCATGTATTTCTTCTAAATGACAGCAAGCCAGATGAAATACGTTTTCTTGGTGTTAGTATCCAGTTCGGTCAATCTAAGTACGCTTTTTGATGATATTACCCAGGGACATTATGAGTAAAGAACCCGTCTATAATATAAACGTAGCCTCGTTTTACGGCGGCAATCAAACTCTCGTTTTATGGCCGCAATCAAGCTATGTTTTATCATAATAGTTCATGGCCAGACCGGATGTTGGTTTCATCTTTGGCAAAACTTTGATGATGACAAATAGTGAAAAAAAGTATGACGTGATAGCCTTTCTTAATTAATATTGTAACCCCATGATCTGGTTAGGATAGAGGGGGAACATCGTAATATGTATACTCGACAACCGATTTTCCTAAAATTTGGCAAGAACGTTAGTTGGTTAGTTATATATGATTTTTTTGTCACTTGGTCGCCCTTCATTTAGCCCAAGAGTGTGATTCAGTGGGGGGGGTGCCCAATTTGGTCAAAAACTTGTAAATCAGACATTGTTTGTCTTTTGACTTGCTGTTTGATATTTCTTGTGAAATAA